AAGAGGTTGTGAGTTCGAGTCACCCCAAGAGCAAAGTTGGGAGTTCTTGGAGGGAGGGAGCCAAGGGTCTATCAGAAACAGCCTCTCTACCCTAGGGTAGAGGTAAAGTCTGCGTACAAACTACCCTCCCCAAACCCCACTAGTGGGATTATACTAGGTCGTCGTCGTCGTCGTTGTTGTTGTTGTAGTAATTTTAAATTATGTTTGTTTTCATTATGCTTTATTAATAATATATTTTATGCAATTTTATTATATTTATTATTGAATATTTTAGTACAATGTAATGACACATCTCATATTTAGGTTATTTTATTGAAAATCACCTTATATAGTTCTGTCTTAGTAGGATTAAAGAAATATTTGGAACACAAATTTTATGTTTTGTGCTATGAAGACTTTATGGAAAAAAAAAACCGAAAATTCGAAAAACCAGAGAAAAATCGAGATTAAAAGACCCAGCTTTTATATGTTTGGTTTGGTCTTTAGATTTAATAACCCGACACAATTGGTTTAGTTTGCTAATTAGAAAATCCGAACCAACCCGATCTATGTACATCCCTACTACCTGGTTTGTCGTTTTTTTTTAATGCTTTTATCGTATGTCCTCACGGGACTGAGGCGTAATTATCAAGTACCTTTTTTCTTTTACCTTTTTCTTTTTTTGGTTCATTAGTTACAACTGATCACTTGATACCCTCACATACAAGGAATTCAAGCTCATAATAAAGGTTTCTTTTCCTTTCATTACACCGCTTCACTTGGAAGTCGGATCTTCTCTCTCATATCCAGCGGCGTAGTTATATACAATTACTATTGATTATCAATTAAATATTCTTTGTCAAAAATTATACTATATATAAAAATTATATTGAATATATAATTCAAAAATTACTTACGGAACATATTTATTATTCCCTCCGTTCACTTTTACTTGACACGTTTTGACTTTTCACTCCTTTTAAAAAATAATAAATGAAGTGCATAATTAACCATGATACCCATATTAATTGATGCATATTTTATTGGATTTGAGAAAATGATTTGAAATGAGTAATAAATACTGTAGGTATAACAGAAAAAAAAATTATCTTTTCTTGATATGCGTAAAGTGATAAGTAAAAATAAAAATCTATTTTTTAGTATACATGATAAATGACAAGTATAAATGAACGGAAGAAGTAAATCTTAAATATTCTTAATAAAACTTTTGACTTCGCCACCGAAAGCAAATCCGCATAGTGCTAGGTAAATATTCGAGCACCCGCGTTCTCGCACCTTTTGCAGTGAATAGGAATTAGACAAGTGTTTGAATATCATATTCGATCGATGAAAGCAAAAATTAAATTTACACAATTTCCAACCTCTAGTAATTCCAGAAAAAAAATCCCTACCAATGCCCCACATTTATTATGCATCTTCCATAAGTATATTGTGCAAGTCCAACTAAAATAGTACTCCATGCTATCCACAATAAATGTAACTTTTAGCGGTTATACGGGTTCATCAAATCTAATATTTTTAGCTAAAATCATGTATAAATATAATAAAAAATTCACGAAATAAGTGATATATGGAATAAGTTATGGTGGAGTTCCAAATTTAACTTGAATCCACCTTTGGGTCGGTTAGTCCTACTAAAATTATTAGCCGAATTTCACATGATGGGTCCTATCTTTTTTTTTTTTCTTTTTTCTTTTTTAGGGGTGGCGGAAGGGTGGGGGTGGGGGAGGGTATGGTCCTTGCTCCTTATTGAACAAGAAGCATGTTGCTTGGCTTGAGTAGATGGAAGAAGTAAAGATAAAATATGTTATCTATACAGCTGTGGGTACGTAGTAGATTTATGTAACTTTGAGTAGCTTAGAGTATTTCTTCTCCACTTGTTATTTTTCCATTTGTAAGTCCAACTCAGCATGCAAACATTTCAAATATATACTCAAAGACAGCGCCTCAGATTTTTCGTAAATTGACAAAGACGGTGAAAACACCATTGATTTGCCTCATTGGTTGATAGAGATACTCTGATGGTGTTTTTTTTTTTCATGGTTATCTGATTGTAACTACTCCATATATATGAACGCCTGGATTAGGTAATGAAAGGCAATCAGTTAGAGAGATAGAGAGAGGGGGAACATCATGAATATATGGAACTTTTGGACTAAATCAAATAAGTGTATAATATATATATATATATATATATATATACACACACACAAATATATACTACAAAAAATATGCATTTTATCAGCTATTATATTTGTGATATATGGAACTTTTGGACTACGAAAATTCAACAAACACTATTCGACTTATAACTGCATTTGGATTTGTGATTGCGGTGATTTTAATGTTTTACTTTCTATTCCAAAGTACGTGTAGATACATTGTATTATTTTAAATGATGTCGGCATATTATGTATATTCATATTGATCTATTTAAGAACACTATTTGCACACACATATATGATAAGAATTTCACAAAATAGTGTCGGATGACACCTCTTAGTAAAAGGATGTTTCCGCCACTTTTGTCATTCTTGATTTTCGTTTCCATTATTTTTGATTTAAAGAAGGATGTTTGATTTGAAAGACAAATTCTTTTTTTGACCAAATAACGTTAAATTCTTCTGAATATTCTTTTAATCAAAATATATAGTATAGCATATCGATTATAATGTCACATTTCGATGTTAAATAATTAGAGTATTCATCCAATAATCAATTGGGTAAAGTAGTTAAATTCGTGATCTTTATTCAACATCTCAACTAGAGCTTTAGTATCCCCGTCACGTATGATCTATCTAGGACTAGTTTTAACAATAAGGTTTCCGATGCTTAAACATATTAATTAAAGTGAACAAAAGATTAATGGTCAAGGAAATTTGCTACCAAGATAGAGAATTTCTGCTGATCGATCAATATTGGTTGAAAAAGATTTCCCCAATATTTTTCTCCAATATGCTAAAGTTGAAAAAGAAAACTATCTATTAATGTATATCGACCTTAGGAACTTAAAACTGTAGTCTCGCCTAAAACTTAAAACATTTTTTGCACAAGGATTAACTATTAATATATTATCAAATATTTTTGGTTAGAATAATTTTGAATCTTGGGATGTCTAACGGAGCCAAAGGGAGATTTATTTATTTAATAACAATACTATGTGGTTGAAAGAAAAAGAAAATGACTCAGTTGGATAATATAATCGGATGAAAAGTGGTTGAGGGCTAGCTCATTTTGGTGGGTTTCCTATCTTTCACGGTTGAGGTAGAAGTCTGGGTCCAATTCCTCATTAATTAGTAGCGTAGCATTCCCTTCCCTCTTCTGATATAATAGAAATTATAAAAATAAAATCGGTCAAAAAGAATATTTTTTAAAAGAACTTCCGTAATTTTCAAACTTCACCAATGAGCTAACAATTCAAGTTATAAATGTTTAACACATGATGCATTGTTTGCCAATAATTTCTCCAGATCCGCATAGTGGTCAGATTGCTTTCATTCCTAAAGATTGTTTTCTTCCATGTGAAACGGATTTTAAAGTACAAAACAGGGAATGCAAAACACTATAAAGGAAAGATTAATGCAAAACACATGGCTATATGAGAATTTACATAATAGAAAAACAACAGAGCACGAATTTTGATGAAAAAATAAAAGAGTAAAAGCCTTGTATATCAAAAAGCCAGCTAGGTATTATTTTACTTAATTCCTCTCTTCTTTGATTTTATTTCCCTACTTTATTCACTTAAAATAAATTACAACTCTGACTTGTACTCTTCAACCTAGAAACATTTAGCAGATTGTATTCACTTCTATTTAATTTTTCTATCTCTCTTCATAGCAAAAATACTAAAGGAGTTTTGATTTCGGAATGTTCTTGTTTTTTTCTTCTTCTTCTTTTCTTAGGGCAAGTGACACTTCCCGATTAATCTTTTATTTTAATCAAAGTAAGACATGCTGATCATGAATCAAACCACAAGCTTAATTTGACGCTTATAGCATATTCTTTTAGGAAAATTATTGATTTGTTATATTATCAATTCCCTTCTTCAAGGTAAACCCATGATTGCATAGAAGAACAAAAATACTAAATTTGTCTTCACACGGAGTAACAAATTATTTCTTTACTACTATAACTTACTTTACAAGAATGAAGTTTGGTATAGTGTTGAGGAATAACTATTCCCTATATGCAATATTTAATAATAATAGTATATATATGAGCAATGCAAATGAAGCACTAATCATTTCAAAGACACAATTGTATCTGTCGACAGGTAATTTGCTTCAAAAATCCGTTAGATGAAACTGAAAGGCTTATGCTCTGAACGTTATTCTCATTCTTCATGCAACAAACAACTCCATTAAAGATCCTTAAAAAACAAGAAAATAAAAATTAAGAGAGTTAAAAGAAAAGCTTCATGATAGACAACGTAGACATAGACACGCGTACCATTATCAACCTATTAGGTTACTATCATCCACAGAAATGTGTACAACAAGTACTGCTAGCTTTAATTTTGTGAATGTACATATGTACTCTCTCTCTCTCTTCTTGAATTTAGACTTAAGGTACACGTGAGAAGATGAAGGCAAAGAAAGAGAGATGAAAGCTTCTTGGGGTGGTAATGGTGATGATGAAAGTGATGGTTTGTGGGGTTTGTTTATATATAAGATTATTATTAATTGCGACAAAGAAAAAAAAAAGAAATGGGAAATTAGTTGGTTAAAGAAAATAATATAGGTGGAGTGGAAAACGGATTGAGGGGGACCTGCCAAGAAGCAATGGTGAAAAAGAGAGAGAGAGTGATGGTTGGTCTTCTTGTCTTTGACTCTATCCAGTCTTTTTCGTTGCATTTTTCTTCACTCACAAGGTAATCATCATATGTGTATGAGAAATGGAACATATTTTGCTTCCACTTCACATAATCTTTTTATTTTTTCTCTTATATTTCACTCTCTTTCTCATTATCCCATTCTATATAGCTTCTTCATATCTTTTGACCATCAAAGCCTAGCTAATTGGAAGAAGAAGAGGAAGGAATTAATTCATCATATCAAAACATATTCCATCTTCTTATTCTTCTAATGAGGAAGCCAGATCATTCATCATCAATGATGAAGGAGAAAGGGAATAGTTGTAATAATAATAATAATAATACTAAGGCAAAACTAAGAAAAGGGTTATGGTCACCAGAGGAAGATGAGAAGCTGATGAATTACATGTTAACAAATGGGCAAGGCTGTTGGAGTGACATTGCTAGAAATGCTGGCTTGCAAAGGTGTGGCAAAAGCTGTCGCCTCCGTTGGATTAATTACTTGAGGCCTGACCTTAAACGCGGCGCCTTTTCTCCTCAAGAAGAAGAACACATTGTTCATTTGCATTCCATTCTTGGAAATAGGTACGTAATTCTTTCACATTTTCTACCTTCCCTTAATTCTACTCTCTCAAGTTTAACAATGTAGATGTTTTAGAGGCAGTAAAATGTTTTAAGGCTGGTTGGGTACGTAGCTAAAGAATGGAAGTAAGATTATAAGTAGCTATTTAGCGTACGAAAAATCTTCCACACACTTTAATATTTATATATACACTGACAAAATATAACACTTTCTAGCACCATCAGTGTAATTTTAGCTGTTATAGTAGGTTACTTATCATTTATTGTTGTTTATCCATTAATGCTATATTAATTAAAGTTACTAGCAATTATCTTTCAAGTGATATTATTGTATAAATATTTTTTTTACTATCAGTGTATAAAACTTTGTATATATGGATGTTCGCCGCTTACCTTACAAATCATATGAAGAAAGATGAAATCGTTGCCAATAGTTGCCCAGTCAGCTGAAAATTTGAAGAGCTGGACCAAATTAAAATAAACTCCTAGTTCACCTTAATTAAGAAAATTTAGGAAGGAATTGTCATAATTCTTTGGTCTTTTCCTACCCAATTATCATTTTCTTTTATGTAATGCAATATAAATCTTCGTTTACTAACTAAATGATATCGAGCCATGAGTAGGGTATTTCTAAATGTACAAAACATGGGTGGTTACTTGTTTCGGAGCAATAGTTTGCACAAGAAATTCTAGAAATTATAGAGAAGAGTCAAAAATATGATTGGAGTTATCCTATTTTCAGCATCCGATTCAAATAGGAGATTTCTTTGTTGTTATATTATAAGGAGAACTGGAAGGAAAATTTGTGTGAGACTTTGCCAAGAACCCAAGAAAATAATGCTATAAATTAAGATTAAATAAGTACCAACGACTTCTTATAAAACCTATTTGTCTGCTGTCTTTCTTTTTATGCATTTCTGTAACTATTTACTCTATTCCTTGTTTTGTTAATTTGATTTTGTCAAACACTTGGAGATGTGTCGGAATTTTCTTTTAAAACAGAAAAAATACCTTCAACCATTATAGTAACACTGTTTTTGACGATTAAACTTACATAATGCATGCAGAAAATATATGCTCTTTGCAAGTTACAGTTTCTTTCTTTTATTTTTAACCTTATTTTGCATATATTACAGGTGGTCACAAATTGCAGCTCGTCTTCCAGGGAGGACTGATAATGAAATCAAGAATTTCTGGAATTCCACAATAAAAAAGAGATTGAAGAATAATAACAACAACAATAACAACAACACGTTATCGCCTAACACCAGCGACTCCTCATCCGACCCTAGGGCACTCATGGGAGGAATAATCCCTATGCAAGGACACGACGTAAATCATGTCATGGCAGCCTTATGCATGGACAATTCCTCATCTACTAGCAACCATTTTAATCCTTTCCCTCAACTTGACAGTACCAACTACGACATAATCGGAGCTGGTTTATACAATTTTCCACCTTGTTTAGGTCAATTTGATGGAGATGCCGGCGTTGTGGATTATGGTGTTGTGGAAAATTATAGTACGATGGGGTTAGGAAGTGATTTTTCAGTTCCCACATTAGAGGGTGGTGGAAATAAGAGTATGGGGGAGAATAATAATAATGTTAACTTTAGTAGTAGTAATATTAATGCTGCTAATATTGACTATAATTCCATGATTGAAAAGAAAATTAATGGAAACAACAACCAGCAGTTGATGTTGAGTGAGACTAGTAGTGATCAAAGTCTCAAAGTTGAAGACTATATGGTTGGTTTTGGGAATCATCATCAACATCATTGGCATGGAGAAAGCTTAAGAATGGGAGAATTTGATTGGGAAGGTTTGTTGGCAAATGTTTCCTCCTTACCTTACCTTGATTTTCAAGTTGAATAACTACTCTCTCCAACCCTCCACCCCACCCCCACACAATAAAGACACAAATACCCTTTTCCCATATTTTTTTCTTTTTCTTTTGGATAATTGGGAAATCTGCGAAAGCTAGCGGCTAAAGATTCTAAACTCGAAAGATGATAGGCTTGCTCTTCTACCTTTCTTCACCTAAATACCAACGGTATTGTCTTTCCAAGTCTTCTTCCATCTATTCGTTTTACTTAAATCATTTCCACAATTTACAGAAAATTTTGAGATACGTAAACTTCTTTTCTTTATTTTCCATTATAAAACACTTCGACTAGATTTTCTTTTGTAGTTGGCATTTTTTTTTTTGTATACATGTTCTTCCTTCGTATTGATCTTTTTGTTCCCTTCAACCAAAAGTTCCTTCATTAAGATTCATAGACGTTTAGAAATAAGTCTTCAAATTTGGAAACACATTTTCAGTGAGGGCAGTTTTAATCATTATCAAGGATTATGGAGATACGGGGGAAATAACCCTTCTCAAGAAGCAAAGTGTGAATAGAGAATGAGCACATAATACATATATAGAAGATTACAAAGAGAAAGTAAATAAAAGGGCCAGTTGTTGATTTGTAAGCAGTCTTTGTACATGTACAGATATGGATCAATAATCTTTTGAAGATAATTAGTGAGTTACACGTTTATCAGAATACGGATGGAGAGAATTGTTGTACGTTCTTTAATTTGTATACACAAAGGAATAAGAAGCAGTGTTGGTTTTTCCATATGATCAATATTTCAGTACTTTTAATCCCCCTGCTCTCTCTCAAAATTATCTTATAGTGACTTTACATTATGATGGAAGCATTTCCATTGCTGTGAATATATATATGAGGTAGGGTGATCTAACGACTTAAAAAGAGTTAAGTCAATAACATAAATTTGGATGTTAGTTGACAAATTTATTGACATCGGAGAAAGAGATTTGGCTCTAGTTTGGGGGTGATTTTAGCCGCGAATTTTACAGTTTGCTTTGTGCGCTCAACTCATTACTAAGTTGTGCTGAAGAATATATATATGGATGGAATGGAGCCCAAGGTGATCTTAGGCCGTCTAGAGCTTGGGCTAAAAAGCCCTTACTTTTATAAAATAAAATGAAAATTTTACCTCTTATAACAAAGGTATACACCCTATTTCTTATAAATCAAAATTATTTTAAAATATTATTTTCTATAGCTACCTTTTATATTTTATAGCAAAATAAGTATTTATGGTATATACTATAATTGAGGCATGAAATAAAGCATGAAATACACTATTTATGTTTTTCCTCTTTCTTTCCTTCAATTAACACATGATTCTCTCTCATAATTTTTCTTCTTTCTCTCTCTCTTCGAATCATAGATACACGAACGAGAAACAAATCATGAAAGAAAGCCTAAAAATCTCAAAATCAGTAACATGAAAGTAAACCTATAATAAAAAAAGGAAACGGAGATACCTTGGGCGACAGAGATTGAAGAGAAAGAGGGATTCTTAGCGCGGTAAGTAAGAGAGAAAAGAGGAAGAAGCGGTCGAATTGGAAGCGTTGTAAATAGTAATGGAAGAGGTAGTGAAGCGATACAAGGAGTCATGGCCGGAAAATGCCATCTCCGACGAACTTTCTTCTCTTCTTTGCTATTTAGTCACATACAATGATACAAATACATTGTATTCTGTATAAATCCACTCAAACACATTGTATTTTTGTATAAATATATTTTTTTTGTCTGTGTTTATGTATTTCGAAGGTTTGTAATTTTTTAATACAGCTGAATACACTTATATTCATGCATACTGTACATACAGTACACATGAATACATGATATAAATATTGAAATACACTGAATAAAAATATTAAAATTGAACATAATATAAACATTGAATACATTTAATTTTAAAATATAGTGAAATATAGTAAAATACACTGAATACAAATAGAAATACAATGAATACAATCAATAAAATATACTGAATACAGCAGTAATAAAATGTATTAGGAATAACTAAAATACTGTTAATACAAATACATTCGAATACATTGAATCTAATGAATGCAACAGTAACAAATAAAATATTGAAACACACTAAATACAAAAGTTATATACAACTGAAAAATTATTCTAATTAATTGGGTTGATAATGAGGAATATTAGAATTGATTTTGTTGAGTTATATTAGGAGTGTATCAAGCTAATTGATATTATTTCCGTTATTAGATAGCTGAACATACATATTTTTAAGGTGATTGTCGTTACTGTATTCATGAATACATGACGCGAATACATGTGAATACATGTGCGTACAGCTGAACTGCCCTGATTTTAGGCGCTTTTTGTTGCTGTATTCATGAATACATGGCGCGAATACATGCGCGTACAGCTGAACTGCCCTGATTTTAGGCGCTTTTTGCTGCTGTATTCATGAATACAACAACGCGAATACATGTGCGTACAACTGAACTACCCTGATTTTAGGCGTTTTTTGCTGCTGTATTCATGAATACATGGCGCGAATACATTTGAATACATGAGCGTACATCTGGACTGCCCTGATTTTTAGGCGCTTTTTGCTATTGTATTCATGAATACAGCAGCGCGAATACATCAAATACACTACCGTAACAAGTGAATAACAGCTATAGAAAGTAATTATGTATATGATAGCTATAGAAAGTTAATAACCACTAAATAATAGTGATTTCTGAAAATTCCTTTTATAAAATAGATACTCCCATTAACAAGATAGACTATAAAGAGGCGAGTTCGTCTACTGGATCTACTTGTATATGTAGAAGCTATACTATTTTAATTATTTTTGTTGTGTTAATTATGAACGGTTGAAAATATATAAAAGGATTTTCATCTTTGGACGAATTTAAACTTCTTTCTATTTAGAATAAAAAACTATTGATATGTCTTATGGCATTAGTTTCCAGTCAAAAAAAAAGTTCTTCAAATTATTGTTATTTGACTCAGACTCCAAAACCATAAGAATCCTTAATTAGAACGGAATTTGAATTCAGCACCCTTTGATGAGTTCTCTTATAAAAATCAGAACCTTTTTTTAATAGTAGTCAATACACCATTTGTTACATTTTTGTTTACCCGAAAAAAACATAGAGTTGAATTTATACGTAATTATAAGGATATGTGGTATAGCTTAATACAAATCGTAAGGATAAATAGAAATATCAAATATGGATTGTAAAGAATGCGAAGTAAACAAGGTTGTAAAGAAGATGATATTTAGGACTAGGCAAGTTGAATCAATTTATAAAGCTTAAAAGAACAACTCTTCAGTATAGGAGAATATGGCGCTTGAATTACAATGTAAGCCAAAAAACTTGATCCTTGCAGAAATAATAACCATCCCCTTTATAGTAGAGAGATCTTACTTTAGATATAATTAAAAATATATAGTGAGAAACCCATGATAAATTAATTTTTCCATAATTCATGCCCGGATTCTCTCCTCTAGTGGGATTGCAACGACTCTTGTCTATGAGCTCGATATTGACTCGAGTTTTCGGTCATGACTCGAGCTCTCTATCTTGACTTGAGCTCGATTCTGACTCGGATCCTTGAATTGATTCGGGATCAATGTAGGTCGGTCTCTGAATCATAAGCTCGATAACTTTACTTTGCATCATAGTTTGACTTAGATTCGAGCTTGATAATGATATCGAGCTTGACATTGATCGGTACCTCGAGCTCGAAGCTCGTTTGTACCATCTTCGGAACCCATCTCGAACCCGCCTCGAACTGAGGATATATCAGAGAAAGATTCGGGCAGAGTCCCCGAGTTGTTGGAGATCGAAGATGCCTCCCATCGAAGCCAACTGATGGGGGGTATGTCTGAAGGGGCTCTTCCCGAATCTTTTCGAATCGAAGAGAATTCACCAGGTGATTCACTTGGGGCAGTAGCAATCAAAGACTCGCCCACCTTCCCTGCTTTTTCCGCAGAGGCGATTCGGGAGGCCCAAGCTTTGGGGGCCCTCAAATTAGATAGGCCTCATGATGGAGAGTATCCTTTTCGTGACCTGTTTATCGGTGTCGAGGACACTACCGGTACAAGTGACGCATCTGATCTTTTCACGGAGTGCAGCAGGCTTTGAATCAGGTAAGACTTAAATTTTATGGCGTTACCTTTAAGTTTTCTTTTCTCGAAAATGCCTCGAGAAGAGGCTGTCTGAAGAAAAAAATTTGAAAAGTCGCCGGAAAAGGCCACACGCGCCGGCGCGTGGCTGAAATCTCGCCGGAAAGATAGGCGAGTTGGCGGCGCGTGAGGGCGCATGAGAGCTCAGTTGCCGGAGAAATTTACTGGAGTTTGGACGCGAGGAGCTTGGCTCTTGATGGGTGTGGTGGAAAATTAGGAAGAAGAAGAGATGGAAGAGGCTCGGCCATAGGAAGCACTGTTGCGAAGGCACTGTTGTGATTAGGGCACTAAGCGCATCCATTCCTAACGTGCCTTACAAAGAGGCCAAGCATGGCCTTATTTTGCACAATTGTTAAGCGCAGAGTTAATTTTGTGGATTCTTTCGTACTAATAGAGGAACACATGGGCCTTACAGACTGAAGGAACTTTGTCTTTCAAAGATAAAGATGCAGAAGGAGTCATACAACCTCATAACGATGCACTGGTAATATCTGTACTTATGAATAAAACTAAAGTTAAGTGTGTGTTAATTAATCCAGGGAGCTCGGCCAACATCATTAGGTTGAAGGTCGTACAACAACTCGGTCTACAGGACAGATCGTACTCGCGACCTTGGTCCTAAACGGATTCAATATGGCATGTGAAACCACCAAAGGAGAGATAATTCGGCCAATAAACGTGGCTGGGGCCATCCAGAAAACAAAATTTCACGTAATCGAAGGCGACATGAGGTACAATGCTTTTTTTGGAAGGCCATGGATCCACAGCATGAGAGTTGTACCCTCGACCCTACACCAGGTTCTTAAATTCCCAACATCGAGGGGGGTTATAACAGTGTATGGGGAGCAACCGGCCGCAAGAGAAATGTTTGTCATCGAGGAAGCGAATCCGACATCCTCGCCTTCGCCAATAAAGGGATCGAGCTCAAAAGGGGAACAAGATGCCAAATAGCAATCACAAACACCGGCTTTAACCCAACCAGAAAATCAAAAGATCGATGAAGATGATGATCAGGGTGCGTAATCCTGAGTTCGAGATCGCTTTTCTCTCACAATCGATGTCTTAGTGCATTTAAGAACCGGCCCTTGAGGGGTATCGACACCGCCGATAATCATGTGAATGACATGCTGTGGTTCTTTTTGATTGTTCTGCTTGCCGAAATCCCTATTTTTGAAATGGTTCTTTGCCCTGTCGCTTAAAAAATTTCTAAGGTGCCCTTTATTGAATAACCGGGCTACCTCCTCTCTTAGTTGCCTGCAATCTTTTGTTCTATGGCCATGGGTGCCATGATATTCGCACATTTGATTGGGATTTCTCTGGACAGGATCGGTCTGCATGGGTCGAGGCCATTTATTATCTTTGATGCGTTCGATAGCCGACACGATGGCGGATGCATCAATGCTGAAGTTATACTCCGATAACCGAGGTGCTTCCTTAGATTCGGTAAGCCTGTCGAACCCATTTCTGTTCGTCGGTCTCTGAGACCCTTGACCTCGATCACTTATTTTGTTGATTTTTCTGGGGTTACGTCTCGATTCATTGATTCTGTGGTTTTCGTTATACGGTCG